AACATGCCTAGTTCGGAGTCCATTGTATGCATGATTATTTCCAAAGTTGGACCGTGGACGTGGTACTTATTGGAAATTAACACCAAGTTGCGAAAACAAGGTCAAACAACTTCTATACAACGAAAAGAGACTGCGACAACACAAAAGGCCACACCATCTTGGTCTTCATACCTTCCATTAAAAGTAAAGTTGTCAATTCAAATTACAGGTTTACGTTTTCTTTACTGAAAAGCTAAAATACAAAAATGTGATATGGTAAAGGGCTGGCTTGCTTTGAAATTTACGTCTGCCCTGTGAGATTCACTGGTACCGATGGCAGTGGTAACATACCGAAATTAAACGCCGCCCTGTTCACATTCGATTCCCGTTGGGAGTGCTGAGGCGAGGTCGAAGATGCAGTTCGGTCCAGCCTGGATGAAATTATCTTCTGAGAGTCATCGTTGAGTGAAACCAATTTGCATCATGAGACCTACACATCACACTTTAGCAGTCTGGGTTGTCTACACTGATTGTTCACACACTTCATTTTTATGAGATTTATTCATCCTATTTCGCCTAAGGTGATGAAGGACTGGTGAATACATCTCATATAACTGGCAATCTCGATACCCTACTAATAAAATATAAATAAGTAATGTAGTAGATGTCATAGCATCAACGGCAATCCCACCAAAGAATATGATATTGGAAAAGGCATGGCCTTCCTTGAACTTCACATCTGCCCTTTGGCCCAAGAGCACTCATGGCAATGTTGCCGAGTGGTTAACGTGTCAAGCTCACATGCTGCACTGTCATGGTTCGACTCCCGCTGGGGTCGCTGATAAGACCGATGCGAGGTCGAAACTGCAGTCCACTGGTGCCTGGATGAGAACAACTTTTGGGAAAGCAAGGCTATGCGAAATTCAATCAAAACGTCAGCTCAACTCATATCAATGCGGACAAATGCAACTGACAGTCCTTCATCAGCTTAAACGAAATAGGGTGAATACATCTCATATAACCAACTCACTGCTTACAAGCGAAAAGCACTTCAGTTTTGTTGACGATGCTACTTTCGACTGGTCGCTATTTGAGAAACAAGACTATCCACGATGAATTGGGAAAAAAAATACTTGACTTTGGCAACGTAGATCACTTTAGCACACGTCTTGAGAGGCCAATTTCAACTCTGAGTCGGATTGCGGTCTCTGTCTCATCATCAGTCCGCCTCTCTCTTGCCCCCAGCGACCTGCAAATCGTAGGTGCTTGATACAATGAGACCATGGTTCGTGGTGTAATTGATGGGCGAGGCCGAAACAACAGTCGATCCGGGATGGCAACAGCTTTTGGGAAACAAGAGCTGGTAGATTGTAGATATGAAAACTAAGATGGAGTGGCCATTTGTCTGGTCGCGGTCTCCTTTAGCTCTAAAGTGTTGGTTCGACATCGTTTTCGCAACATTATCGGAGCGGAGTTGTAACTCTGTGCCGACGATGGCGCCCCTCATTGAGGATGCCGAAAAGGATGCTGGAAAAACGTTTGTGAATGTACCAAGATGCTGGACATCACGAATACCACAACAGAGGACATAGGATTGGGTACTTTCCACAAGGTCTCCCTGACGCTCGGACCAAATAACGAAAAGGAAGTCGAAGCAACACCATGAACAAATAGAATTAACTACGAAATTGAAGCTTTAGCGTCATTTCGTCGAGCACACAGAAAATCTGGACATACATCGTCGTAGCAAGCATTAATACTTTACGAAATAGCCTATATGACATAGCACCGATAGGTTATTGAAATAATGTATTTAATCAATTGCTTGCGATTGATTACGCGAATAAGCTCTCGGCTCACAGTCCTGCAGTCCCGACGAACCCGGGCTAGGCTTTCGTCCGTCCCGCCCTAAAAGATATTGTCAGAGCGAGACAGCATCCTTTGCCGAAAAAACCGACTGTCAACCTAATCGACATTGACTCGTTGGCTTGAAGATGGTTGTAAGCTTAGAATGTTTTGGCATGAATCGAAAGAGATCGCCTCAAAAATGGCGTCAACAAGAGTGTTGCAGTGAAGCCAACCGACAAATGGTCGAGAGGAATTCGCCGTCGTCTTCTGATGCGATCGACTTGCCAATCTCTTCGCTA